AACATTATGTTAATTTATAATAAACATTAGCCCAAATTAGAATTTGTTTTATAGGAAACTATCAATACCTACTGTTAAGTATTTCTATATGCTTACCTATCAAAATCTTCACTCTCCTTAATAGGAAATTGCTGATTATCAGTTTTTCCACTTTTTCCTGGCTGAATTAATCCATCTTCACCACTGTCAGTATCAGAATCATTTATGTTTTCTGATACTTTTAATTCAATGCTTTTGGACTTCTTCCTTTCTTCTTCAACCTTTAATGAAACTTTGATACTTAGGATAATTGTCGTTACTTCACTCTATTAAAAAGAACTTTTATGCTTTGTTAATTTTATCTATTTGACTCAGTTTAATTATCATGATTTTAATCAACAAAAGTATTTTTGTGCTGACTTTATCATTACAGGCCATTGAAATTTTTGCAAAGTCCTCATCATTTCTGTTTGAATATAAAAAGGAGAAATTTCCAAAATTTCAAAAATACCCTTCTTAATTCTGTGCTCTGATATCCACTATTTACTATTTAACATTTCTAGGGTCCTTGTGGTGCTGTGAGTTATGCGCCAGACTGCAAAGCTGTTTGAATTGCAAGGTCGGTGGTTCAAGCTCACCAGCTGCTCCTTGGAAACCCTATACAGGGTTTCTATGTGTCGGAACCGACTCGACGGCACTTAACAATAACAACATCCTCATTTGACTGGCAGAGAGAGAAATAGACAAAGATACAAAATGTGTCTTCTTCTGCCTTGACCATTTGGATTTTACATTAAGAAGCCGAGTCTAGACGGTGTGATATCATGGGCTTCAACAACAGAAATGAAGTTTTCTCTCTCTGCACTAAACTATCCTTTCCCACAATGCCTTTTATAATTTTTGTTGTTTTTCATTTGGATCCTGGGAATACCAACAACATGAAGGTGCCCACTGAAACACAGAAACCAATGTTTACCACAGCTACAACATAAGGAGCTGAACTGTAAGGAAATCTGGAAAATGAGTAATGTTTCCTATGTTTCCCATTCACCAACCATATAAACCTTTGCAGCTGGAGTGTATAAAAGTAATTATCCACTATAGTTTCACTGCTGTCTTTGTTGTTAAATGCCATCAAGTCAGTTCTGATTCACAGCGACCCTGCACAGGGTTTCCAAAGCGCAGCTTGGTGGGTTTACACTGCTGAGCTTGCAGTTAGCAGTTCAGTGCTTATTCTACAGTGCCACATCGAGACTTGTATCTGCTGATAAATGGGTTAAGACCCAGAAAGGTTAAATGATTCAGCCAAAGCTCCTAAAGAGGCACTATCTGGCATTGTATGTCACTGTAATAGATTATACAGTTCTAGACTGCTGAAATAGCTAGCTATATTAATCAGATACATTATCAGAGCATTCATCAAGTTAATGATATTGGTGAATTTAAAATGTGACTTTGGCAAAGCAACTTAATGTCTTAGTAGGGGCCTCAACTTGTTTTATTTTAAAGGAGAACGGCTCTAGTTTTTTTTCTAGTTTTGAAAGTCAATGCATCCTAAAAACGCAGTTTTCGACTTTGGAGTTAAGTATCAAGCTTTTTTGCTCAGGGTTTATACTACCTATAAAATCATACATGTCAAAAATGTATCATAAAAAAATGTATCATACTTTATACATACAACATCTGGTGTGACTCTATAGGATAAGCACTGGCCTGCTAACTGCAAAGTCGGTGATTCAAAACCACCAGCCGCTCCTCGGAAACCCTATACAGGGTCACTAAGAGTTGGAATCAACTCCACGGCACTTAACAACAACAACATAATGTAAAGGTGTGACTTAATAGAAACATTTGAGAATAGTAATAAAAAAAATACATATGGAAGAATACGTATGTTATCAAAAACATGTCAAAGTAATCATTTGGGAATTAGAAATTCCAAGGGCATCAGTAAAGCAGATAAACTTGTACATAAAAAACTGAATAGATTAGACTGTTTAGCTGGAAATATTTGTTATGCCTCTCAAGTTATGATGTGTTTTTATCTATCTTTCCCTCAGTTATTGCTTCCTTATCATTTTAGTGTTTAGGAAAATGTGTTTTCCTTTGCTGATGTTGCTAAGTGTTGCCCAGTTAGTTCTGACTCATAGCAATCTTAGAAGCAACTTACAGGTTTGAACCATAAACCTTGTGGTTAGCAGTCCAGTGTTAATCCTGCAGTGCCACGCCAGGGCTTATGCCAATAGGAAACAAAGCAAATCTTCCTACGCTTCTCAGCAGTTTCCTTTATTCTTATCTTGGTTCAGAAGGTGACATGGTATATGGCCTCAATTAATCTGCCAGTTCATAAGCCACTTGGAAGATTTAGGATGATTCAGAAACACAAACTATGGGAATGCTTTACTAACTCCTCTTTATGTAGGCAGCAGAAATACCCTATCACAACTACATATTTACACAACGCCATTTTCTACATAATTTTTGCATAAATGGAAAATCAGAATGGATCAGAATATTGATAATGAAATAAAACAAAGAGTAGCAGCAAATGAACTTCTACCTCTTTTTGAAGTTGAACTTTCTCTTTTTCCAAAGCCAGGAATCCTACTTGTAACAGGCCTATCTCATTCTTAAACCTTTGCATATCTTGCTGTAATTCTTCATTTAGATACATTTTTGATGCTTTATCGTCATACGGTGCAGTAGAACTCACATTTTCTAATTCAGGTTCCACACTTTTGTAATTATTAGCACTACAATTATCATGTAATGACTTCTGGAATAAGTCTTGCATGGGTTTTGTGTTCTCATAAGTGTTTGTGACAGCAGAAAAATTTTGTCTTTTCATTTTAATCATATGCTTCATTTCATTGGAACGGGTAAGCCACAAATCAAAAAGGGATTTTGGATCACTAGACTGAGGCATATGCTTGACGTCTAATTTCCATTTAGTAGTATTTTGGTTCATATTTTTTGTTGTTTGCACATCAAACTCTTGGTCTTCTTTTTCTTCAACTGTAACTACTTCTGGGTTCCTTACATTTTGACTTTCTGCATCATTATAAAGACTTCCCTTGTTTTTGTTAAAAACATGTTCAGTGTCTGCTATATTGTCATTTTCAAAGTCTAACTTATTATCATTTAAATAAAGCTTAGAAGATGACTGGCAAGCATACTCCTGGGACTCAGAGTGCAAATGAGATGGAAAGACAGTTTCCAGACTAGGTTCTCTTTGTTCAGGAAATGCTTGGAATACTACAGAGATAGACACTCCAAATGGATCTTTTTCCTCACAATCAAGTATATTATTTGTTAAATTAGAAGGCATTTTCTTTAAGTTTGCTCCTTCTTTAGAGTTGTCATGTAGTGGCTCTTCCTCAGGATAAGCAGTTATTTTGTATTTAGAGCAAATTTCACCAAACTTCTGCTTTAACTCATTTGTGATGAGTTTCAAATTATTTTTCAACTCTACTTTGCCTTGTTTGATCCACATTTCCTCATACTTTTTCACACAAGGAAGTCCTGAATACATATTCTCTCTATCACACTCATTCATTTCTGGTTCTGGAGGCATTTTTTGCAGATATAAAAGTGGAAGTGGAAGATCAATGTTCTTGGTTTGATTTTTCGGTGTCTTTTCTGCCAGGGTGCATGTTTTTAAAATAACTCTATCCTTAAGCAATCAAGTATGGACAAAGAAAAATTAGAAAAAAATTAAAATTTAACTGTTAAATATAAGTTTATCTATTCTAAAAAATCACTGACTTGTAACTGAGAAAAGTGAAAAATAACTTGCCTTAAACTAAAATATAAGAAAAACATGAACCAGAATACCTCATTTTGTCACTTTTGTTTTGGCTAGATAATATTATATATTAAATTTACTAAAAAATGAATCTGGAAGTGATTCTCAATATTTCAAATGCTTCCTCACTTTAAGGTTTGACCTCATTAGATCTTAAATAGTGCATGTGATGGTTTGTTTTATTTAACTGACTAGTACCTGGAGAGGAGGCAAATTTTAAATTATTAGGAGTCATAGTCAATTAACAAAAATTAGAAAGAAAAGCAAACTCCTAAATTTTGATTCAACTTATATGCTATGACAGTTTTATGTATATATACAGACAGAGTATTTGCTTAAGTCCAGTTCAAAGGTATTCTAATGCCCACTAATGAGAAGAGTTAAAAACATTTTTAATAATATTTACTGATTTCATATAATAAAATGAAATCTAAGAAAAGCACTGAGGTAAATAAGTTAGAAAGTCACTTTTTGAACTCTAATACCAAGTGTACCCTAGTACCACCTATTCTGGAAAAAGAGACTCTCTTTTCTGCCTTATACGAAAGAGTTTTAAGTCTATTCCAGAGAGACCACTGGCAGAATAAATCTTTAACCTGGGCATTCTTGTTGTTGTTCTTGGTAGTGTCGTCGAGTCGGTTCCGACTCATAGCGACCCGTATAGGGTTTCTGAGGAGCAGCTGGTGGGTTTGAACTGCCGACCTTATGGTTCGCAGTCCAGTGTTGGTCCTACAAAGCCACACCAAGAGTCCTAAAGCCTGTACGGAGGTTATAAAAATAAAAGCAGCAAACACTATTAAAAAAAAATAAAAAGCCTCATTTCTAAGATTAAATTTAAAAGTAAAGATATAAGTTACTACACAAGGGAGGCTTCAAAAAGTTCAAGGGAAAACTTGAAGTCCCCCTATATATTCTAAGAATATTTTAAGTTTTATAACTAGTCAAAATGTACAAATTAAATATAAAATCTTATTATCTACAAACTCCAAAAGGCTGGTCTAAAAGGTAATTTCGTTTGTACTATGCTAGAAATTAAAGCACAGAAAACAAATTAAATCAGAAATTTAAATTAAAATTTTACATACCTGTGACTGGCTGTTTTCACTTTCTGCAAATCTTTCTTGTTCTTCCTCAGAAGTCATTTTTAAGTCTAGATCTGCTGACAAATCTATATATTTAGTTAAAATACATACTTAGAATGGTTAGATAAAAGTTTGGTCTTTATAAAAATAAATAGAAACTAATGTTTTACCAAACAAGAATTTAAATGAAGCTTAACCTTAAATCGAATATCTACTTCTTTAAGAAATAATTTTATTTTTAATAAACTTGAACAAACCAGTTGGGGCTCAAGAGAGGTAAATGATTCAATGATTCATTCACAAATACATCCATCCAACAAAACTGGACGAAACAATCAAAAACAAAATGTTAAAATACAGTAGGAACATACAAAGCTACACTATACACTATTGTTTCCTCATAACAGAACTTTTTAAACAAATTAAGCCTCAACTACATTACTCTGTTTCCAAAATTATGTTACTTTTTATGCACATCCTGTTCTTTTTATATGAAAGACTTCTACTAGTCTGGTAAGTTTCTGTTCATCTTGTAATACTCAGTTAGCTGTGCAAAGTCTTCCTTGATTATGGCTATCTTTCCCCAAGTAAATTAAGTGTTCCTTTCCTCGATGCTCCAGTAATAATTTGTAGGTTTTTCTACTAAACTTTTACCTCTCTGAACTACAATTATTTCTTCACATGTCTGTCTCTTTTGCTCCTATATTGTAGGGGACAGTCTTTTAAATCATCTTTGTATAAATAATCTTTATTTGGTTTGTTGTTGTTAAGTGCCATCGAATAGGTTCCGACCCATAGCGACCCTGTAATTATTTACTGAGTTCCTGCTAAGTGCTAGGCACCAGAGTCTAAGGACAAATGAGGAACCAGCTGATGGAGAATACGGAAAAGGTTGTCAGAACTGGCTTTTCTCAAGATAATGTCTGAGCTGAGACTGTGAAGTTAGCCAGATAAAAGGACAAGGAAGAGGGAGAGCATATAAGGCAGTAGTTATTCACGGAAAGAAACATTAAGTAGGATACGCATATATCTAATGTGGCACTGTAGTATCAACACCGAGCTGCAAACCACAAGGTCAGCAGTTGAAACCCACCATCTGCTTCTCGGAGACCCTATCCAGGGTCGCTATGAGTCAGAACTGACTCAGTGGAAAAACCTCCGCCACCACCACCACTACCACCATAGTTAAGTAAGTAGATTTGTAGTGTTTAGAAAATAATCACTATTCCAGGAGAAAAAACTGAGAATCTTCTATAATATATTATGTCAATTCTACAGTTAAGGAAAGAAGATAAAACTATAGGAGTAAAATCAATATTGCATGACTACTCAGACCTAATCATTGTAGTTAACTGTTGTTAAGTGCTTGCTATCGAATCAGTTATGAGTCATAGTGATTCTGTATAGGGTTTCTGAGGAGAAATTTGAATCACCAACCTTGCATTTAAATGGACCTTGAGGTCCAATGCTTATCCTACAGTACCACACCAGGACTCCTACCTAATCATGGTGGTGGTAGTGGTTATGTGCCATGGAGTCAATTCCAATTCACAGCAACCCTGTATAGTTTCCGAGGCTGTAAATCTTCACTGCCAGAACAACAAACAAATCTGTGTTGGAAGAGGTACTATCAGGATGCTCCTTAGAAGCCAAAATGGTCAGACTTTGTCTCTCATACTTCAGACATATTATCAGGAGGGACCTGTCCCTGGAGAAGGACATCATGCGTCTTAAAGTGGAGAGTCAGTGAAAAAGAGGGAGCCCTCCAACAAAACAGATTGACACAGAAGCAGCAGCAATAGGTTCAAACCTAGCAGCATCTGTGAGTATGGTGCAAGACTGGGCAGTACGCTGCTTTGTTCTACATAGGGTCACTGTGGGGAGGAATCAACTCAACAGCACTTTACAGCAATTAACAACAAATCTTTTGGAGAGCAGAAAGCCTCCTCTTTCTCCCATGGAACAGCTGGTAGAATCAAACTGCTGACCTTGCAGTTAGCAGCCCAGCTCATAATTTAAACTAAGGCTCAGTGTTGTTACGTGCTGTTCAATCAGTACCTACTCATAGCAACCCTGTAGAGGATTTCTGAGAAGCAACTGGTGGCTTTGAACCAACAACCTTGTGGTTAGCAGTCCAGTGCTTATCCGACAGAGCCACACCAGGACTCCATATATGCTACATTGTTGTTGTTGTTGTTGTTAGGTGCCATCGAGTTGGTACCGACTCATAGTGACCTTATGTACAGCAGAACGAAACCCTGCCCAGTCCTGGGGTAATTACTCCTTCTCCAAATTCCCTTTGCTATTTACTTGCTGCTTTGGTTAGGGGGAAAATGTAAATGCTTTTCTAAAAGTTTGTTTTGTTGCTATTGTTATTGTTAAGTGCCAAAGAGTTAGTTCTGACCCATAGCAACCCTGTATAGGATTTCTGAGGACTGGCTGGAGGGTTTGAACCACTGGCCTTGCAGTTCAAACTGACCTTGTGGTCAAGCACATTATCCTGCAGCGCCACTCCAGGACTCTTGATGTTTGTTAGGTTGGAGGTTGCATAATGGGAGTAAACACAATGTGAATTTTGCACAGAATGATTTTTGGAAGTCAGAACTAGACTGAAGCCATGCAGAAGTCTCTATGATAGAATATACTTCTTTATTACCTTCTTTGCTCTCTGGTAGCTGTGATTCACACAGGTTATGGAGAGGATAATCCCCTAGTAGAAACACAGCTCCAATATTACTCTTTTCTTTATCTACTAAGGTCATCTGTCCAACTTCTGTGGCTGCTGACTGACTTTTGGTCATTGAAGGTGATATAAATGGACATTTATCAACTTTCAAATCCCCAGAAAGCTTGTGAGTGACACTAGTAGAATCCCAGTCTGAAAAATCTGAAAATAAAGTGTTCATTTATTAGAATGTAAATAATAATATAAATTTGACTAGCTTGCAAAAATTCTCTCCCCAGAAACGCAATCCCATGTCCTTCTCTCCCCTACAAACATTACTACTTTATGGCTTATTGTATTCTACATGCCCTATACTTGCCATGGCGGTCCTATGTGGTTGCCGTAAAGTCAAAACCGACTTAACAACAACTAACAGCAACATATTTAACCTACACTTAAATAGGTTTAACTACTTAGATAAGCTTAACCAACTACTGTATTTTATTTTTTTCTACTGCTTTTATATGTTAGTATTACTTACTTGGATTCACTCAGTAATCTTTATTATTTATTTAGTATTCCATGAGAACTTAAGATTCCTCAGAGATATAAACTTTCTGTCATTAAAAAATTTATGCGACTGCCGGGTGCAACGTGCGGGAACTGCAAGAGGATGGAGCCCAAGAAGATGGAAAAGTTCAGCACTGCCAACCAGGGAAACGGGCTGCGCGCCTTGACAGCGCTGCGTCCAGGAGAGCTGGTGTTCAGCTCGGATCCCTTGGCGTACATGGTGTGCAAGGGGAGTTGTGGTGTCGTCTGCGACCACTGTCTGCTCGGGCTCACTTGTCACATGGTATGTAGCTGGTAGTTAACCGATGATGACGGGGTTAGCTCAGTCAGCATTCATTATTAAGTATGGTAGAAATTTATTAAATTTGTACATAACTAATGAAGAGTTTTCACATGCAAGTAAACTTTTGCTGAAGATAACTCAGACATGGCTGTGACAAGGAGCTGCCAGAGAACAAGGACATGGAATGAGGGATGTTATTGTTGGTATCAGAGGGATCTTGGCTGAAAGCAGAGAATACCAGGAAGATGTTTATCTGTGCATTATTGACTAAGCAAATACTTTGTATTGTGTGGATCATGACAAGCTATGAAAAACATTGTGGAGAATGAGTATCCCGAACACTTAATTGTGCTCATGAGGAAGCTGTACATAGACAAAGATGTAGTTGTTTGAACAGAACAAGGGAGCAGTGAATGGTTTAAAATTAAGAAAGGTGTGCAGCAGGGTCATATTCTTTCACCATACTTATTCAGTCTGTATGTTGAGTAACTAATTCTAGAATCTGGATTATATAAAGAAAAGCTTGGCATCAAGGTTGGAGGAAGACTCATTCACAACCTGAGATATGCAAATGATACAGCCTTGTTTGCTAAAAGCAAAGACAAACTATTTGCTGATGAAGATCCACAACTTCAGTATGTAAGCTCAGTGTAAAGAAAACAAAAGTCCTCACCACTGTACCAATAAATAACATTAAGATAAATGGAGAAAAGATTGAAGTTGTCAAAGGCTTTGTTTGCTTGGATCAACCATCAACACTCATGGAAGCAGCAGTTAAGAAATCAAATGACATATTGCATTAGGCAAATCTGCTGCACAAGACCTCTTTAAAGTGTTCAAGAGCAAAGATGTCAGTGTGAGGACTAA